AGGCTGTCAGTTTTAGCGATTGGGTGACATATGGATAAACACACATTCACATGAAAAATCTTATCAATAATGAATAGGCAGATTTGGAATTTTTTAATATGGGGTGAGATCATATTTCAGGTGAACCCCTAGACACAATTTGTTTTTCTAGTAAAAATGGTGGAATATCCATGGTCTTTCTTAGCAGTCTCCTTAAATAAGGAGACTCAATTTTTAAGTAGGTAGGAGAGGGAGTTTTGAGGCCACAAAAAGGAGCTGGGAAATGCACATATCCTACAATGTGAGGATTCCTCACTCCTGCAGTGTATTTGTAAAACCAACAAAAACCTTACTTTTATTCTATCTTGAAATAATCCTCCACAGCTTTTCTGAGGGTAGCTTTGAGCTGTAGTATGCTTTTGGTGGGTGTGGTGGTTAGAATGCAGTATTGCAGGCTAACTCTGCCCACTGCCAGGAATTTGATCCCGATAGGTTCAAGGTTGACTCAGCCCTCCCTGTTTTCAAGGTTGATAAAATGAGGACCCAATTTTTGGGGGGCAATATGCTGACACTATAAACTGCTCAGAGAGTGCTGTAAAACACTATGGGGTGGTATATAGGTCTAAATGCTATTGCTATTTAGGAACAAATGGGTCATGTTCACCTACTCTGCCACATTTTTATGAGGTGCAGGAGGACGTGGCAATGAAGAAATGTCTTCTTTGGATGGAGGACATATTCAGAATTTGCAGATGAATTATTCTAGGAGCTAGGGCATAAGAGATTGCAACTTGAAATTCACAAATACATTCTCTTAATGTCCAAAGGTGGTGCAAAACTTTCAGAAGACTGCTTCTGAACATATGGGAGCCTATACAAAAAATTTCTATTCACTTCCTTAATGCACCTACAATAGCAAAGTTAAGTGGGTTTGCATGCACTAACACGTAGAAATAACTGAGAGCAGCTTTCAGAATAGCAATTCAAGCTTGGAAAAAAGAATAATCCAAAGCTTAGGAATTTTTTTTGAATAGTTTCTTTCTTCCACTTTTCAAATTACTATTGCAATCACAAAAAAACAATGTGAGCCTTAACGTTAGCCTGTCAGCAAAGCAATGCTATTAGGTGGAATAGCAAAAAAACAATAGTTATTTTATTTTTAGCACTTTTAAAAATGTGACTTGTTTCTATTATTTTCATTCTCTGAAATTTTGTTGAAAGTGTTGCAAACTAGTGTTTTGCTAACTTGAAGTCCATACATTTAAAGTTGCCAAGTTTGAAAAACACTATTGTAAACTGTTCCAGAATACAAACCTGAGGCCTCTTAATATCACCTGCAAAACATGTACTTCAACTCCCTCTGAACTTGTGACTGTTTACTGGCTGTTCTTTTTTCACTGACCTTTAGTACTAAAATGAATTCTTTTCCTATCTGTAAAATAGGAAAGCACCAGGAGGCAGAGCATGCTGATGTTGGAGGTGGAACTAACAGCACAATCCTACTTTTCTTCCTGACATTTTCTGGCTGCACAGAATACTTCTAAAGATACCTTTTACAATGGGATACTACAGTAGATATCTGAAACTTAAAAACTTATGCACCATTGGATTCACAAATTGTATTGATCCCACACTGCTTACCTTCTGAGATTCTGTAGGATTTGTAAGAAACTCTTGGTATGTACAAGGTGGTTTAACTTTGGAGAGTAGATGCAATTCTCTCAATGACTGCAATTACTTCCAGAGGGTGGGTGCATTGATGAATGAAAGGACAAATTATATTATTTTTTGCATTATCCCATTCAGCTACCAGAGTTAATACATGCTTTTAAGCATTGTTCCAAAAATATTTGCTATTGTATATGTGAAAAAACAGCCAGCTACTTTGTCATCAGAATTAAGTTTCTAACCTCCAGATCTTGTATCAATCACTTTGTTTTGCCCACTAGAAGTATCACAAAAAATTTAATATAATAAAATAACCTCCTTGCTCAGTTCTCTACAGAAAATCATTTTAATTTGGAGAAAAATCTATATTACCCTTGAAAAATAACGAAGACACAAAATTACTATTTAGTGATGCTTTAACAGATGATATTCACTTTCATATCAAAGTTTTGTGAGATGCATATATTTCTCTGCAATCATTAGTGCTTTATTCATATTTTCATAAGATCTGAGCAAATTTTATCCAGGTCAAACAAACCCATGGGAGCAGGAAGAAATCTTTAATGTTATCATTAGCTATCTAGTCTGATTCTCTTGTGAAATTTTGATTTTACATGACATTAGTTAGCTATCATAAACTGATTTACTTTATGGAAAATAGAGAGTTAATCCTATATAATGGCTCAAATTCTAAGTCCACTCAACTGCTTTTAGAGAGTCATATGCTTTCCTTTCAAATACCTGTTCCTTTGCAGAAAAAAAAATCTACTTATATAGGTTTGAAATTTGGCCAAGTCATTCACCACCATCAACATTTCTATAATTTGATAAAATTGGGCAACAGTTTCTCATAATGCTCTTTTATGCCTATAAAAGTCCCATCCTGCTGAAAAAGTTGCAGTCAATTCTTTTTTGCTATATCACTCTATGGGACAATGAACCACCCTTTTTTCTTTACAGTCAACCAAACCAAGTTGAAACAGATTATCTTTGAAATGATCCAATTAGATCAAGACAGTTTTGGGATTGGATTCTCAAACTATACTAAGTGGTATTGACATTGCTAGCAAAAGCATCAGATGACCAAATGACTAGCTTTCCACCAAATCTTCCAAATCTTATTGCTTGTAAATTTTCTGCATAGAATACCTGTCTTTAAACAAAGTATTAAATGCCTACAAACATTATGAACCCAACTGGAAGATAAAACAGTAAATTTATCCAGGACAATTTTTAAAATAATGGATAAAGTTAATTCTGACATGTTTAAATTATTGTTATAGGTCTCCTTAACTAGGTTTATACAATATTTAACTAATCTAAAATAGGTAGATTGAAACTTGATAGTTTTCCATTTAGAAAGTTGTAGGAAACTCAACTTTTGACTTTTCATGTGTGCGCGCACGTGTGTGTGTGTGTGTGTGTGTGTGTGTATTGGATATATATATATATATCCAATCATCCATTATATTATGAAAAGTAGAAGTAAGAAGAGTTCAAAGGGAAGGAACCAACTAAAAATTGCTCATAGAAGCACTAAGAATTTTGCAACTTGAAAAGTGGTTTGGTTAAGAACTCGTTGAAAATGTTCATTTGGAATAAGTCATTGTTTTCATGACTGATGTTCTGCTTAATAATGCTTATGCTTTCTGAACAGAATGAAACCAGCTCATGTTTCAAAGATGAGACAGATAATCATAGTACTCCTGACATCAATCAGAATGTAAAGGAAAAAGTAAAATCCTGAAAAAGATTATTACGATGACACAGGTTCAATCCTAATGGCATTGAGGAACATCGTATTTACTTTCTTTTGTTCATGTAAATGCCATATATACTGCAACACAGATACAAGATCTACTGTTTGGACTCTCCATTTTATTATTGATAAGATAGTGTGTGTATGTGTGTGTGTTGCTTAGGTTCATGATATAGAAAAACATAACTAGAAACAACTAGATTAGACAAAAAAGCCTATTTAGTCTATCATAATATTTCTCATCAAATACATGATTCTGATTAGGAAGAAGTAAGAATGTAACAGTTGTTACTCTCAGCAACTGAAATTCAGAGGTATTCCTTATGCTGGAAATAAAGTTTAACCTTATGCTCTATAAAGGAATTCAGTTTGGAAGACATCCCATTATCCAGCGTGTGCAAATAATCAGCTAGTCCAGTCAAAAGGGGAAAAAACAGTTTCTAGCTAAAATTATACATTTCAAACCATATGGCAATCTTTTAGTTAGTAACCTTCAGCAACTACACTGATACAGTACCCACACAAGTTGCTTAAAATACCAATGGAAATTCTTATGTTGTTATTGAAGGATGATTGCAGTATGAACAAATCCCTTAGAGAATTATTGGAGTCTGCTATTTTACAAAGTAGTGATCTATTTGAATGTTGCTAAACATTAATGTATCTGTAGGTGTGTTTTGTGATTAATAACAGGTTAGGTAAACTGAGAAGGTACACTGACCGTGGTTCTCATTTCCATAAGTTCTTCTTTTTTCAAAAATGATTTTTGGCTAGCCTTTAATTAAAGGATATATTACTGAGATGACTAATTTTGCAGGTAGTTTCTGATTATTAGAAAACAGTTTTAAGCCTCTGTTTCAAATCAATATAATTGTGGAAGAGAAGGAGACATAGTAGTAGTTGTTTTAAAAAATGAATGAGTTGATAATTGTGCTTAATTCTCAAGTATTCGGAATATGACTGGAGAGAGTGAATTTAATTAGATTTTAAAAATAGAGAGTGTAAGGGAAGGCCACACTAATTTACTGATTAAAATAAATAAAATTAAAATCAAAAATGGGTAGTGCAGCCTTCCCCAACCTGGTACTCTCTACATTTAGTAGACTACAATTCTATAATCTCAGTTAAAATCTTATCCCTTGGCTAATATCCCAGTCATGCCAGTATATGAAGCTATCATACACTTTTGTCCTCAACTTCCTGCAGAGACTACATATGGGGATAGGGAAACATTAACTAATTTACCATCAGTGGATTTTTGTCTAACACTAAGAGCTGTACTAAACTGTTCTTCTTCTACCACTAAAGGGGTGGCTATTCTTTTTGTCATGTTTCCATATTAATAGAACTGTACAGCTTAGAATCCCAGGAAGACATTTTGCAAAGGTACAAAACTGAACAAAATAATCTGGAAGAGCATCAGATAAAGTTGAGGACATTTCTTAATCTGAAATAATGCAAGATATGCATTTGGCAAAATCAGTTTGGCAAGTAATTGTAAATGGGTGTACAAGACTGTAAAGTCAGTGGGGAAGCCAGATTTATTCAGCAATCATGTGACTGACTTAACAACTACAGTGATTCACTTAACAATGGTGGCAAGAGGGAGCAAAATTCACTTAACTGACTCAATTAACAGAACATTTGGACTCAATTGTAGTCATAAGTTGAGGACTACCTGTAGAATGAAAGTATTGATTGTATTCTGCCAAAGATCTGTATGGACTGCTAATAGAATTTTTGAAATTATGACCTAATGTGATTTCACTGGGAATTCAAAAATGCTTTTCTGGAGAAAACAAAGTCTAGATGCAGTTTAATTTTTTTTTTTTTTTTAATAAGGCTGGTCAGAAAACATTCCAAATTTGGTGAGAATTTAATAACAAATGCCTTGATGGATTCCATACCAGCTTTTCTGAGAAGAAATGAACAAAGTGATAAACTTTTGGGGAAAAAAAGCAATAATAAAATGAAGGATACAGGTTGGTTAAGCCTGATATCCAGAGAGTTCCTAGTTTTAGTCTCTGACTAAAGGAAGCTAAAGAGACAGAGGCAGGCAAGGTGGCCAATCTAATTTTTACAAATGCTATTCCATTTCTTTTAATTACCAATGAAGTTAAATTGTTTTCCTCTCATGTAACACTGCTTAGGCATTCCTAAAGTTTCCTCTTGTAATACAAACTTATCTTAAACTAATGGATATACGAGCCAAAATCCCCCAAACAGCTCCAAAATCAAAGTATTGAATGTTTGAAGAATGAGGCATTTTGTTTTGTATTTCCTTTGCCATGGCATTGGGTTCTTATTGTACAACCCTGTACAGTACTTCTTCAATATATATATATATTTATATATATATTTATATATATTTTAAAGATTTAAAAAGCAAAAAGTTACAAAACTGTTTGCAATTAACTTGAAATAGAAAAGATAGCACTTTTTTTAAATCCCATTATATAGTACACCATATAAATTACAGAGTATTCAAATGCGCAAATGCATTTGCATAACATTTATCAAATGTAATTTTTGTTGATTTTTGTGTGAGTAGATTAATTTTGCTTGCTCCCTCTGGGTTTTTGCTTGTGGTAATATTGCCTCACCACACATTTCACTATCACGTATGACAGTGTTCCAGGTCTGAGACACTGCTGTTGCAATATCGCATATTGTTGGGGATGTGGCAGTCTGTATAGTTAATGCCCCCATTTGGGGTATATATAGGCTGCAATCTGAAATCTCCTTTAAGGAGCTGATCATTATTTAAGGAGACAATCTGAAAGCTGGTTTCTGTCATCTCCAGGATGGAGTTGTCCTTCTTGGTTCCTGCCTCACAGTAGTCATCTTTCCGTCGGCCACGGTTGTATTTCCACTTCTGAGAGGTGTAGCGTCCTTTTTTGTGCATGTGCCAGCAGAAGATACTAAGCAGAACCACCAGCACAAATACAACAGCCCCCCCAATTAAGCCTGCTAACAGAAATGGAGAACCAAGGTTATGAGAAGTTGTCTGTTCGTGGCTAGCTGAGTTGCTTCCGTTATTCAACAGGGAAGCTTTTGTTGTGCCTTCTGAGCACACAGTGTCCTCACCAATGCGATAATTATTAAAATCATCCAAGGGAACCAAACAAATCCGATACGTAGATTTGGGCTCCAAATTTGTCAAGCTGACGTTCTGCCTCTTATCAGTAACTATCCGTTCCTGAATAATGCCTCCTTCCAGACTGTGACCCATTTTAACCCAAGTAAGCTTATAGGCCATCACATTAAAGAGAGAATGCCAGCTCACTTGGATGCAAGTGCCATTTACAATGTGAATAAACAGCTGAAATCGTTCAACAGTGGGAAGGGTCATTTTTTCTTCATCATTTGTCTCAGGCACAGTGGGGAACGTGGTTATAACAGGGGCAAGAAGAATGATTGTCTGTTTATTACTTGGGGTAAAGTGTGATGAAGTAGGGGCCATTGTGGTTGGCAAAGATGTTGTGGGAATATGGGTAACAAATGAGACATCTGGGGTAGTTGTGGGGCATGACAACATGTTCATGTTGAGTTCCCTGACAGCCATACCTCGGACTTGTTCTGGTCCTTGACACATGAATCCTCGGACATTGATGGAAGAAGGAATTAATTTGAGCCATTCAGTAACCCATTTAATACTACAATCACATAGCCAGGGATTATTCCTTGCGGTTAGTTGTTTCAGGCTGTGAAGATTGTCAAAAACACCTTTAGACAGCATCCGGAGTTGATTGTTGGAAATATCAAGTCGTTCCAATTGATGGAGATTTGAAAAGGCTGAAAGTGGTATGTGTGATATCTGGTTGTCCTGTAAATAAAGCCTAAGTAGATTTGTACCTGGAAGATCGAGAGGTGGGTATGTCAATGAATTCCTTATTATAGAGAATTCCTTAAGTTTGGGTAAGTGGCTGAAGGTGCCATCTGCAATGCCTTTATTTGTAAGGAGATTACCATCCACTATGAGACGTTCCAAACTTGTGAGATTCTGAAAGGCCATGTCTGATATGATGGCAATTCTATTTTCATCCACTCGTAGTTCTTGTAAGTCCATTGGAAGGCCAACTGGTACACTGCTTAAGTGATTCTTGGATAAGAACAGAAGCTTGAGGCTAACAGCTTCCCGGAATGCCCCATCCTCCACTCCAACAGTAGAGATAGAATTATCATCCAGATGAAGCTCTTCCAGTTTCAAGAGTTGTGCCAGAGCAGCCCGAGAAATTGTCTGGATGTTGTTTTCTTGCAGGTGGAGAACCCTGACATTCTTGGGGAGATTCATAGGGAACTCATCTAGCTGGTTGCCATACAGGTAGACTGTGTGCACAGACTGGACATTGTGAAGTTCTGCAGGAAATCCAGCATTATTAATTTGGTTATTGTGGAGGTAGAGTATGGTTACACCCTCCGGTATTCCAAGAGGCACTGAGGTCAAGCTTCGTTCATTACAGTAGACAAAGTTTCGGTCGCAACGGCATACACTTGGACAGGCCAACGCTTTGGAAAACTGCACATACAATCCCAGAAAAAAAACAAGCCAGGATTTCAAGAAAGCAAACCTGTCCATGGGCCACATTCTAGTCCACGGGCCCATTTCTAACTGAAGAAAGAAGGGACAATTGAGCAAAAAGAAGAAATAAAACAAAATAGATGTGTTTTGTCCTCTGTGCAGATGATTGTTATATTCCCAGAAACTAAATGCAAAATAATCCTTGTACAACTGGACTATTCTCCAGTCTGCTTCTGAAAAATCACTGTGTTGTTAGCCAGGTTTACACATTTTGATGCCTTCCTCCATGTATGCTAAATGGCAGAGTAACTATGTTCTATACAGAAGGCCAATCCTCAATGTGAAGTTCCAAACGTTGACAGCAGGCAGGATGGTTGGATTAGCTTTTCCTTTCACTCTGGTATTTGCAGTGAAAGTGCACTCAGGTTCCTTCCGTCTAAAAGGCATTCATTTCAGCTTTAAGCTGGGTTTGAGAAATCTGTTGAGAGAAGAAGAAAGAGAAAATAAAAAGGGCTGCATTGTCAGCTGACACACATCCTATGAAGACAAATCCATTAATAGTGTGAGTTGGTAACATAAATAAGCCAGACCACATTAATAAATAATTCAAACTAAATTGAAAATCAGCTGGGAAAGAAGAATGAATGGGTTCCTATGATGTGGATATGACAATGTACAGGTGTACAGCAAGGAGTAGAAACAAGAGGAAAAGCAAGCTAAGAATATCTATATATTTCACAGGAACATCAGAAAAGCAGTAAGTGTTTACTGAATAGATGTTTCTCTATCAGGGTGCATGGAGAAAATATCTGCTGCAAACTTCTGGTAGGTGCCAGGAAGGGCATCTGACCAGTAAATTCTCGCCCAATTCAGTTGCCCCAACCCCACCCTGAAGCAAGGGATCACAGGGGTCATAAAAAGAAAAACAAAGTCTTTGTGAAACTGAATGGCAATTTCCTTCATTTATGACTTGGAGGTGTGTAATTCAAGAAGTTAATATTATTCAGATAATTATTTTCATTAAGACAATTGTTAAATTTCAAGTCTTCCAAACACCTTTTTGAATTTCTCATGTCTGTGTTAGATTGTAGTCCTGCAAATTGTTTCTTTACATCCATTTCATATAGAACCACTACATCAAAGGTCACGTTTTCTGAAATTCAGTCTCATAGATGCAGAGCTTTTTCATTGGATGGGTAGAAAAAGTGTCACTTTGTACTTTGAAACTATGGTAGTTTAAACTTTTATTAAAGAAGTAAGGATAACACCAGTAATTTTATATCACAGAAAAGCTTATGCAAGACTTATTTGCAGTAAAGTCTCTGTGTGGATACACAAAGCTAGAGGTCACAAAATTAAGGCACTGGGAATCCACACTGCAATCTGCAGAGTTTGGGGAACATTTTCCTGCACTGTTAGACTTTCTATTACATGTCAAATATTCCTTAATTTTATTTTCTCTTTCTGTCTATATTCATTACTTAAATTTAAAAGTGCTTTTTTAGTTCCTTAAAACATGTTGATAGAAGATTTCCCTCCCCCCCAAGATTATTTGCCATTCAATTATGACTAATAATTTCAGATAGATGGATAGATAGATAGATATACTTAAATATTTACAAAATGTGAGGGGGTGTACTCACTTCTGTGAGATACACACCCACCCACACACCCAATATCATATTTAATTATTAATGTTGTAAATAATTTAACTATTTATTTATTTAAGTGAAATGCTGAGCAAACTGCTACACAAATTTAACTCCCAGTTTCTCTCTTGTTTCATAAAGGCAATTAACACCTATTACAAACTATATTGGAGGTGTTTTTTTCAAGAAGCAACTGGACATTCTGTTTTTTCTTTGAAGATGTTTCGCTTCTCATCCAAGTAGCTTCTTCAGCTTTGCACCTTTGGGACAACCATGACCTGAATGACTGAGATTTTCCATAGATATCGACCTATATATTTCTATGAAGGCATGGGCATATAAGAAAAGTATATATACCAAAGGAAATATTCCAGACTGTATCTTTCTTATTACAGCTGACAGCACTGTATAACACTGAATTATCGATCCTACATAGATTTAGAAGTTTGTGACAAAAAGCAAATAGAGCAAATCATATGAAAATCTTTTAACCCCAAAGTTAAAACTGCTTGAAGACAATCTGGTTACAAGAAAGAAAATCCATTTCTTTCTCCATTTTGCTATACTTGCACAAACCCAGCTATCTGCTACTAAGAGAATAAGATTATTTTGCTTCTGCCCCAGACTGTGTACAGCAGGGGTGTCCAACCTTGGCAACTTTAAGACTTGTGGACTTCAACTGGCTGAGGAATTCTGGGAGTTGAAGTCCACAAGTCTTAAAGTTGCCAAGGTTGGACATCCCTGCTGTACAGCATAGTATAATGGTTGCAGTGTTGGACATGGGAGACCAAACTTCATGCTGATTTTAGCCATATGGCTTATGTAGGGATTTTTCAGGCAAACCTAATATATTTGTTTGTTGGGTTAAGAGATGAGGAAAGGGAAAGCTCACACACAGAGTTCAAATTCTGAAAATAAATCAGCAAATACAATGTTATGGATTGAGGAAATACATCAGATGGCCTCAATATTCTGGTTAGCTGAAGCTCAATGAGAAAGCAAGTAGTGCTCCACATTTCAGTTTTGCCTCAAATGTCATAAAGTGGGTTGGGGTACAGAGAACAGTGCTGTATGTTCATACACAAAACCCAGGGGGAGCACTTCTCTTTTGCCTTCAAATTTCTAAAAAACACCTCACTGCAATCTGGAGTAGTTTAACCAGATCATCTTATATTAAAACTCACATTATTGTGTGATGCTAGGAGGCAAGACTATAAAGATGATTCACCTTCTCCTTGTTCATATCCCTCTTGACACAATTTTAATTACACCTGTCTTTCTGCCTCATTTACTAATGGAATTCAGAATTAGAAATGGAATAAGCCAAAGCCGTAGGCATGAGATGGAAAAGGCAAGTTGATGAATGAGAAAAGGGAGATGAGGGTTGAACACAGGGGATATGTGCTAAGTGGAAGAAGGGCTAATAACCAACACATTATAGCTTTACTGTGCATGTGTCCACTGTCAGCCTGATCAATGGCTGCATTGTTTCTATCTGCAATTTCCTTTGTCAACCAAGCATTCCTCAGAACAAAAGCTGTATCATCCACTATATTTATAAAGCAAGTCAGATGAATAATTTCACAGAAGAAAAATAGTAATTCAGTGCCAAGAGTAGAAAAGATTAGCCAATGTAGACCTATAATAACAAACTAAGAATAAACAAGATATAGTGGAGCTTGCTTGATTTCAGGCTAGCACAATAAATGAATCCAGCCATTCTGAGTAGTAAATCTCCCAGTATAGGATTTAGTATTACATTTATAACTGGCCATTATAGTTATTTAAAAGCTATGGGTAAAACAAACAATAGCTTTGCATAATGCGTGAACTCAAACCTGTATGTGAAGCAAACAGCCAACATGGATATTTAGTTAGGAAAAATCTCAATCAAAAAGAGAGGAAAAGTTCTATGTTAAATTTAACATTTTTCCTTTTAATTTTCTCTTCTCATCCACACCCTGGCAACAATTTTTCAGTACACTGGAGAACACCCCCCCCCCCCATTTTATTGGTTCCCTCCCTCTTTACTCATCCTGTCTCTCACTGTTTCCTTTTTTCATTAGTAGTCAGATTATGCTGACCTCTCCTGAGTTGGATCAACGCTACTGTATTACTGGAAATTATGAGTTCCTACAGTTTGAACTGTTAAAATCAGAATAGTTGACCCAGTTTCAGCTTATGGCAGCACTGGCCCCTGGATGAGCTGATCAAGTGCAAATAGAAATCGGTATAAGATGACTGTAAATGTACACAACATAGGCTCAAAAGATTGTTGAGAATTACCCCTGAGCAACATAATACATATTCTAAGATCAGCAGTATTCCGTCAGGAGTGCAGTGTTAAGCACTACAGTCTCATTCCCTGGAGCATAATTTCAGAGGTGAAACTAGAGGGGGATATATCAGTAAGAAAAAACAAGAGTCAAAATGAAGGGTGGGGGGAAAGCATATTTTAAAGGCATTCGCTGCAGAAAACAAAAGATATTTGTTCTTAAAGAACAATGTTCTCAGACACTAGGGATGTCTTTACACTAGCCAAATCTATTTACCAGTTTTGTTCAGTTTGGAAGCAAAGAATGTTCAAGAATTTAGGACAGCAACACCAGCAGCATAGCAAATGACCAAACTGTAGAGAAGAATTACAATCTCTTTATCTTTCTCTACTTTATATACCTGATAGGAATGCCACTTAGGATTTACTGAGATACTACTCGAAACTAAGGAGTAGGTATGAACTGCTGATGGTTGCAGACATTATTGTTGGGTAAAGCTTTTGAAGGGCTGCTTTGTCTTGATAACAGAATGAAGCACTTCCTTGAAGCTGCTTCATGCCCCCCCACCTTATAGAAAGTCAAGGTCCTGCATTGCTTTTGTTTTTCTTATTTTTGACATCTTTGCCAGAAAGTCTCAATAGATTCTCCCATGGAATCACCAGGGGTGGATTTTCTTCAGTATACTCACAACACATTCAGTAATCCCTTCTAGCTACTAAAAATGCCAAAAAAAAAAAAAAAAAAAACCCACAGAAAGAATGTAAAGTATTTTGAGATTAATTTAATCCTGTTTTTTTTCTTTATCAAAATGAGAGTTACCCCACCCCCAAAAAAGCTCTAGTAAATGTCCAACAGCAGTTGGTTTTATTCTTGCCTTTCCCTTCCCTTCTTCCTCACCTTGACCTTTTTGGGAGGGAGGGAGGAAGGGAAGGGAGGGAGGGAGGGAGGGAGGAAAGGAAGGAAGGAAGGTTGGTTTACTTATATTAGTGCAGCTTGTATGTGAGAAATAATTATTGATGTACACAGATGAGAGTTTCTTTTTTAATGGGATGAATTTATTTAGTGAATTAAAATCTCTCAAATTGAGCTTGGCTGCTAAGTTTTCTTTGTTTTCTTTGTTTCTTTCTTTGTTCTATGAAATTGGATGACAACAAAGCAGAAGTAATTGTTTTCCATGATAAAAATGTAGAAGTGATTTGCTACCGCCTGTTTCAAGTTTTCTTTTTCGGGGGGGGGGGTGTGTGGGGGAAATTTTATAATGTTCCAGTCTAGCCCACATGACCACATTTCTTGATAGTTTCCTGTCCAAATACAAAACATGTATGACCTTGCTTAGCTTTTAGTATTAGCCAAAATCTATCCAGTTAGAATACATAAATGTATGACAGAGAAAGAGAGAAGGGTGGGTTGGTGGGTAGGGAGGGGTGGGTGGGTGTGAGAGTTTGTTTGTGTACATACTTGAATATATATGCACGCAAATATATTTATGTGATTGATTTCTAGGCTGGTTTCAATCAAACGTTTATTGTCAATGCACAACATGTGTACAATGA